AAGGACCAGGGGAGACAGGATAGAAGTCTTCCAATATTTGAGGGGCTGCCACAGAGAGGAAGGGATCAAGCTATTTTCCAAGGCACCTGAAAGCCAGGCAAGGAATAATGGATGGAAACTGACCAAGGAGAGATTCAACCTAGAAATAAGGAGAAATTTTCTGACAGTGAGAACAATCAACCCATGGAACAGACGTTGCCTTCAGAAGTTGTGGGAGCTTCATCACTGGAAGCTTTCAAGAAGAGACCGGACTGCCATCTGTCAGAAATGGTATGGGGCAGGGGTGGGTTCTAAATTTTTTTACTACTGGTTCTGTGGGCGTGACTTATTTTGTGGGCATGGCTTGATGGTCATGTGACAATTCTTTAGGATTTAGCAGAGGTACTGCCCTACCAGGCTTTTAACTGCTTGCAGAGCTGTACCGGTCTACTCATTTGTTTTTGGAGGCACCGGTCTACCCATTTATTTTTGCAGGCACTGGTCTACTCATTTGTTTTTGTAGGCACTGGTCTACTCATTTGTTTTCTTTTAACACTGATCAGCTGTAGGGCAGCCCTTTAAAAGCCCGGTGGCAAGCGTGTAAACAGTTTTTTTCCCTCTAGCCATCAGCTGGGACTCAGCAGGCAGCAATAGATTGGGGGTGGGGCCAAATAAAAGATAAGAATAATGCAGGGGGGGGCGGGGAGGCAGAACTGGTTCGGTGACATCATATCGTCATTGCTACCGGCTCGGCGGAACCGGGCAGAACCGGGAGGAACCCACCATTGGTATAGGGCTGCGATGGCGAACCTATGGCACGTGTGCCAGTGCCCTTTCTGTGGGCACGAGTGCCGTCACCAGCTGCTCTTCTGGTTTCCAGCACTCCAGCGCGTGCGTGAGCGCCTGCGCAGCACTGAAAAAGGAGGCTTAAGAAGCCTTTTCTAAGGTAAGTAGAACAGCAAGGGGGGGGAAACAGCTGTGCCGCGCAATTTAGATTTGCTAGAAAGCAGGATTTACTGCTTTCTAGCGAATATAAATCGCGCGGCACAGCTGATCTTCGGAAATACTGGTTTGTCCGAACTGGTAGCATTTTTGGGGGGCGAACCGATAGCTTTTATTACTACCGGTTTGGGAGAACCGGTCTGAACTGGTAGCGTTTCACCCCTGGTATAGGGTCTCCTGCTTGGGCGGAGGGTTGGACTAGATGATCCACAAGGTCCCTTCCAACTTTATAAGTTTTAGAAAGATGCTTTACTTAAAATTAGAGAAATTGTAACAATTGGAAGATTTTCAATTGCATGATTGGAGTCTATAAAAGGACAAATTCTAAAAATATAAATAAGATTAATTAGCGAAAACTGCTATATAGGTCATTGATTATTATTAAGATATTGGAGTGTATTACTTGGAATAAGATTTAAGAAAATGTATGGCATAAAATGTTCTGGTTTATTATTTTGATATTAAATGAATGATTGTAATATTAGGAATTATGTTAAATGAGATTTTAAATTTAAGGGGTTTCATGTAGAGATGAAGGGAAAAATGGAATTTGGTGAAGATTAGAGTTAGGATGAATGGGCAATATGGATTCAAAAAAAGGGAAAAGAAGGGAAAATATTATGGCAAAAGGGAATATATAAATTGTATTGAAAAATTGTTTAAATTTATGAACCGGCCAATACTCTGTTCAGAAAAAAATACATTGTTTGTGTGTTTGTCTCTGTGTTAAAAAATTAAAAAAAAAACTTTTTACAAAAACAAAAAGAAAAAGAAGGTCGCTTCTAACTCTGTTAATCTGTATTTGTATCTGAACTGAGACCAGGTTGAGGACTTGTGTATTCTGAAGTAAAGATGTAAAGGAATTTTGCCATGTTAATTTGCTAGAATCAAATTTCCAGGAAGAAAATCCATGTTAATTTGGAAGGTGTGAAAGTTGGATGTCCTGACCCCATCCCACTTTTGCAAGGGGGCCAGGGTATCCAATTTTTTCCAATTTTATCATACTAGAAAAGCTCATGCCGTTAATAGTATCTGGAATAGCCAAGTGCCTTTTGTAGCACTTCCCGGATCAACTATATGACCGCACAAATCACACAATCACACGTTTATTCCAGGAAGCGTGACAAAAGAGATGCAATCTCTGTAACAAACCCCTTTGGCCATAAATATAAATCTGGCCATTTTGTGCATTTCCAGAAAGAAATAAATCTTCCCCCACTACCCTGGATTTATATCCGGAGAATTAATTAAAAAACTAGACGTAAATCTGATGGAATAGAACTCTGCTCAGTTACCAATCCATACATTTGCAGCTGAAAAATTTATTGTCTTTGTTCTTTCTCTGATTTTCCCCTGTCCCCATCATGTGTGCCATAGGGCTACATTTGCTTCAGATCAGTGGTGAAATCTAAAATTTGTTACTACCGGTTCTGTGGGCGTGGCTTGGTGGTGGTGGGGTAATGTGACTGGGTGGGTGTGGCCATTTTTTTTTTTTTTACTTTTAAAACCATTTTTTCTACAACCTCTTCGGCGAACAGGTTGTAAAAAAATGCTTTCAAAAGGCTCTAATGATCCCAGCTGAGTTGCCTGATCGGCAGAGGCTTTTTTTCTTTTAAAAGCCTTTGCCGATCAGGCAACTCAGCTTGGATCGTCAGAGGCTTTTAAAACCATTTTTTTCTATAACCTCTGAAGAGGTTGTAGAAAAAATGCTTTTAAAATTTTTTTAAAAAAGCCTCTGATGATTGCGCGGCTCAGCTGGGCATGGGAGGGGGGGGGCAGGGATTTTTGCTACCGGTTCTCTGAACCCCCTGCCTCCATCGCTACCGGATCGGGTGATCCGGTCCGAACCGGGAGCATTTCACCCCTGCTTCAGATGCCTATGTGCAGAATATAAGAAATAAGAAGAAAAAAGAGATCAGAGCCAGAGTTCAAATTGTGAGAGCTTGACACAGGCCCAGTCAAAAAAAAGGCTGTTGTAGAAGACTTATTTTTCATAAAATAGGTATAGGCAATTCTTGATTTGACTTACATTTGAACCTTGACTTACCACAGTTCGTTTAGTGACCGTTCGAAATTACAACCGCCCTGAAAAAGTGACTTACGACCGCTTTTCACACTTATAACCATTGCAACATCCCCATGATCATGTGTTCAAAATTCATATACTTGGCAATTGATTCATGTTTATCATGTGATCACCTTTTTGAAAGCAAAGTCAATGGAGAAGCCTGATTCACTTAACAACCGTGTTACTAACTTAACAACTGCAGTGATTCACTTAACAACTGTGGCAAGAAAGTTCGTGAAATGGGGCAAAGTTCACTTGACAAATATTTCGCTTAGTAACATAAATTTTGGGCTCAATTATGGTCATAAATCAAAGGCAACCTGAACTGTAAAACAGAGGGCATGGCCACTCACATAATGCAGGTAGTCCTCAATTTATGGCCGTTGGTTTAACAACTGTTCGAAATTACAACAACACTGAAAAAAAGTGATTTATGACCCATAATCAAAGTTTTGACCATCATACCACCCCCCGTGGTCACGTGATCACAATTTGTGGCCTCTGCTGGCTTCTCACAAGTAATATCAATGGGGGAAGCCAGATTTGTTTAATGACTGCCTGATTTGCTTAATGACTGTGATAAAAATGGTTGTAAAATTGGGACTACTTCTAACCATTTTACTGAAGATGTATTGGTTTCCTATCATTCCAATAAGTGAGATTATATGTCCATTGTGACCCAAAGGTGCTTTTTCAGGAGTCAACTGGACTTCCTTGTTTTTTTCTTTGAAGAGGTTTCACTTCTCATCCAAGAAGCTTCTTCAGCTCTGACTGGATGGTGAGGAGAGCTGAAGTCAGAGCTGACGAAGCTTCTTGGACGAGAAGTGAAACCTCTTCAAAGAAAAAAACAAGAAAGTCCAGTTGACTCCTGAAAAAGCACCTTTGGGACAACCATGACCTGGATGACTGAGAATCTCTATAAACTTTTACATATCCATTTTAAAGCAAATAAATATGATGCTAGACATTGATGCTTTGTTTTTCAGTTCGCCGGATTTCTGGGGTGTTTTTTTTGTGTGTGGCTATAATAATGTTAAAATTATGTCATGAAGACAGGATCTGGTGCACACTAAAAAAAGTCTCTGGTGGTACATAGGTGCCTGCAGGTAGTACGTTGCCTACTCTGTCTTAACAGAAAGAACAAAATTCCATCTTAATTCTGTGGTACTAAAACACAAACTTGGAAGAAATAAACCACAATTTGGAATGTTAACGTCCAATTGTAATTTGTTCCCATGTCCCTCAATGAGAACCAGATTGTGGGTTCCTTGGTGCTCTCTAAGTTTGGTGGTTTTCTGCACTGATGATGTTACCTAGTTGGGTAATGAAACATCTGTGAGGAAGCCACCAAACTCAGAAGGCACCAAAGACTCCACGGTTCAACCCTGAGCTACAAATACACTCTGCCATTGACAACCAGATTCTTTCCAAAGGCCCGTTAATCCACAATGTGATGCCCTCCCTATATCTTGAACTCCAGTTCTCATCCTTCCACCCTTGTGTGAGGACAGGATGATGAGAATTGAAGTCCAACTGTCCTGAGCGACCTCAGGCTGAGGAAAGACAGTCTTAAACCCACTAGCTGTTGTGGCTCCGTTACCTGAGCCTGTGTCATCGGCAGTAGAGGACTCCGAGAGTGAAGGAGAGGAGTTGGCAAGGCCTCCCTCTCCAGGACCCTCCTCACTGGCAATGCCTTCGGTGTCCGCCGAAGGTCAAGAGATAGGGCCGGGGCCAAGCATGTCCACGCAGCCACAGGTGGACGGTGATGAGGGAAATGAGTCTTGGCTGGATCCTCGGCAGCGTCGCAGAGATAAGCGCGCGCAACAGAAGAAAAGGCATGCCAGAGATTAAGCTGAGTCACTGGACCACACCCCACAGGATATAAAAGGGGGTGAGGTGGCCATTCAGACTCTGTGACGGACAAAACTAACTACTATCGAGTCACATTGCATCTTTGGAAACAACATTATCGGCCTTGGATTTATTTTACGAACTGGACATTTCTTGACTGTGTGTATTTTGTTTTTGAGTAAAGTTCTTGGCAAGCAGCTACTGGGTTGCTGCCAAGTTTCTTATCGGAAGAATTGGTTGTCTGCCAGTTTATTTAACCCCCAGCTGTCTGTTTGTGTGCGTGTGTGAGACGGGGACAGAACACTAGCTGACAAAGAACGATTCTACAGTGCACTTTAGGTGTCTTCTTCAGCCTACGTCCTCCTCTTTGGGAATTCACAGACAAAATACATGGTGAGGTGACATTCCGTATCATTCCATTTCCCAGTGCTGAGCATCTCCACACAGTCCTCATTCCCTTCGGTGTCCTGAGGTGCTCCTTCTTTCCAATTGCTATAGCTTTGCAATGGCGTACGGTCCGCATACATGAACTGGCCTTCCTTCTCCATGTCATTTAGCCCTATAAAGACTCGGAAGAAGCCACTCTGGGAGACGTAATCAGAAATCACCGTGTTAGCGGCTTCATCCTTCGGCATCGCTAAGATTCCTTCTCGAATCCTGCAGTGAGCGAGGGCTTCCCTGTAGTTCTTCTCTTCCTGAACAAGATAGTAGTATTTTTCTTCTGTTTCTCTGATGCCTGCTAACACTTTTAGAAAGAGACATAAAAAAAAAAATCTGGTATTTTTTTTTTTAAAAAACAATAGCCATTTCATGATGCCTAAGTCTATAAATACGGATGTGTATATATAAACAAAGGGACGTGGTGGCTCAGTGGCTAAGACGCTGAGCTTGTTGATCAAAAGGTCAGCAGTTCAACAGTTCGAATCCCTAGTGCCGCGTAACGGGGTGAGCTCCCGTTACTGTCCCAGCTTCTGCCAACCTAACAGTTCGGGAGCACGTAAAAAATGCAAGTAGAAAAATAGGAACCACCTTTGGTGGGAAGGTAACAGCGTTCCGTGCGCCTTTGGCGTTTAGTCATGCCGGCCACATGACCACGGAGACGTCTTTGGACAGCGCTGGCTCTTTGGCTTTGAAACGGAGATGAGCACTGCCCCCTAGAGTCAGGAACGACTAGCACATATGTGTGAGGGGAACCTTTACCTACATATAAACATGGAAGACCCCTGGTGGTGCAGTGGTTACAGTGCAGTACAGGTAATTCTCAACGTATAACCATACAATTGAGCCCCAAATTTATGGTGCTAAGTGAGACATTTGATATGTGAGTTTTGCCCCATTTCATGACTTTTCTTGTCACATTTGTTAAGCGAATCACTGCAGTTGCTAAGTTAGGAATGTGGTTGTTAAGTGAATCTGGCTTCCCCATTGACTTTACTTTCAGAAAGTGACAAAAAGGCCTGACCCTAGAGTATTGCAACCGTCATAAATATGAGTCAGTCGCCAAGCATGATCATGTGACCGTGGGGATGCTGCAATGGTCATAAGTGTGAAAAAGAGCCTGTAGTACAGTGGACTAAAGCACTGTTATTAACATCTGCTGCTTGCAATTACTGCAAGTTCAAACCTCACCAGGCTCAAGGTTGACTCAGCCTTCCATCCTTTCAAAGGTAGGTGAAATGAGGACCCAGATTGTGGGGGCAATAAATTGACTTTGTATAAATATACAAAAGTATGAAGGCTATTGCTTAACGCATTGTAAGCCACCCTGAGTCTCCGGAGAAGGGCGGCATATAAATTAAAGCAAAAAAAAAAAGGGCCATAAGTCACTTTTTTCAGTGCTGTTGTTAACTTCGAACAGTCACTAAGTGAACTGTTGTAAATTGAGGACTACCTGTATTGCAGTTTAACTCTGCCCACAGCCTGGAGTTCGATCCTGATGGGGGTCAAGATTGGCTCAGCCTTCCATCCTTCCGAGATTGGTAAAATGAGGACCCAGATTGTTGGAGGCAATATGCAAATAATGTATCTACATTGCAAACTGCCCAGAGAGTGCTGTAAAACACTATGGGAGAGGTATATAAGCTTAAATGCTATGGCTGTAGCCAAGCACGAATTGGATACAGGAAATATATTTTTGAGTTTGTAGCACATCTCCAGTTTAGAATGTCCTGCACCCTGATAATTTATCTTAGTAATTCTGCCCCCAAACTCTGCCATTTCATAGTTAGAAGCCCGCCCACATCTCTTTGCTATATATTCTCTATTTTCTTGGGGGGCAAAACGCATATCCTTAATTTATTAACTACCTTCTTCTCTTCCTAACCATCAATCCTGATTAGTTTCTTATTGAAAGTTCATATCCAATATCTATGTCGATATGGAACATATACTAGAACTAGATACTCCTCTCTGGTACAGATAGTCCTTGATTTATGACTGTAATGGAGGCTGCCCATCACAGTGGTAAATTATGATTGTTGTAAAATGGGTGGGTCATGTGGCCAACCTGATTTTACAATTTTGTTTTGGTGTGATGGCCATTAAAGTGACTCTGTGGCTGTTGAGCTAATGCTGTGGTCGTTAAACGAACCAATGGTTGTCTCTGGCCGTGGTTTTGCCCAAAAGAGAAAGTGATGATTTTCAGTAAAACTGTGTAAAATGAATTCATGTGTCCGCAGGATAGTAATAGCACTAGCACTTAAACTTATATACCGCTTCATAGTACTTTTACAACCCTCTCTAAGCGGTTTACAGAATCAGCATCTTGCCCCCAATGATCTGGGTCCTCATTTTACCCACTTTGGAAGGATGGAAGGCTGAGTCAACCTTGAGTCGGTGAGATTTGAACTGCCAAACTGCAGCTAGCAGTCAGCTGAAGTAGCCTGCAGTACTGCACTCTAACCACTGTGCCACTAACCACCTCTTAACTTTACCAGGATGTGGTAAACGATTGTAAATATGTGTTGCCAAGCACCCAGAGTTCAGTCACATGATCACCCACCCATGTCAAAACTTTGAATCCAGGTTATAAGTAATTATTGTAACTTTGAATAGTCATTAAGCTATTGGTTGTAAGTTGAGGACTACCTGTACTTGAGCATGAACTTTATTCGCTTTCCCCCACAAACATTTCCTGTATTATCAGTGAATTATCAGTGAATTAGCACTGATTAGCACTGAAGGCTAGAAGTTGTGCAAAAATGCCCAAATCCCTCAAAGACCATGCCATCAAATTTCAGGAGAAAACTTACCCATTTTTGGTGGTGTGCCGTTTTCTTTTCTTTGATAACATTTTTTGATAACAAGACTCATATCAAAATTGTTATTAGAAAGAAGGAAACAGTATGTCACCAAAAATGGGCAGTTCCCCCCTGAATTTTAATGGCACGGTCTTTAAGGGATTTGGGCACTTTTGCACAGCTTCCAGGAGGTCCCATGTACTACCAAGGCATATAAAGAGCCTTGGTAGTACAGTGGTTTAATGCACCCTGTTATTAACACAGCTGCCTGCAATTTCTGCAGGTTCAAATCTTACCAGGCTCAAGGTTGACTCAGCCTTCCATCCTTTCTAAGGTAGGTTAAATGAGGACCCAGTTTGTGGGGGCAATAAGCTGACTTTGTATAAATATACAAAAGTATGAAGGCTATTGCTTAACGCACTGTAAGCCGCCCTGAGTCTCCGGAGAAAGGCGGCATATAAATCAAATAAAAAAAAAAAATCCCCAATTTAAGGATATGAAACCTACCATTCTTTACGAAAGTAATGGAATTTTTGAGACGAGCCACGTTGATGTCCAATTGTCCGACAACTTTGCGATATTTCCCACAATCACAGACACCACCTAATTCAGTATAAATATAGAAACATTAATTATCAAGATGAATAACACAATGCTATGGGATTTTGGTCCGAAGCAATTTTAATGAGTCCTATCTATTCCCCCTTCCATCTTAATAATATTTTAACCGTAGTTATTTATTGTATTTATGTATCTCAATGTCTCACAAATAATTCAAAATATAGAGATATTGTTTGTCCTCAAAATAAAGAAGGCCTTAAGTTGAGTTGGTGATGTCAGAGGAATTGTCTTGGCTATTACAGATAGTTCTAGCTTTCTGACTGCCTTGTACAGCGACGGCTTGCATTTACAACAGTGATGGAAAAACAAATTTGCAACACCAGTCCTCGCATTTATGACCTTCACAGCAGTGGTGAGTTTCAAAATTTTTTACTATCGGTTCTGTGGGCATGGCTTGGTGGGTGTTGCATGGCTTGGTGGGCGTAGTTTGGAGGGCATGGCAGGGGAAGGATACTGTAAAATCTCCATTCCCTCCCCACTCTAGGGGAAGGATACTGTAAAATCTCCATTCCCTCCACACTCCAGGGGAAGGTTACTGCAAAATCCCCATTTCCTCCCAATCAGCTGGGACTCGGGAGGCAGAGAATAGATGGGACGGGGCCAGCCATAGGTGGTATTTACCGGTTCTCCGAATTACTCAAAATTTCCGCTACCAGTTCTCCAGAACTGGTCAGAACCTGCTGAAACCCACCTCTGCTTCACAGGTATGGAAAGCAGAGAAAAACTGAAATAAAGATCATAAGCACGGTTACGATTTCACTTAGAGAGGTCTTTGCTTAATAACCAACTTGCCAGTCCCAGTTGTGATCACTAAATGAGGACTTTCTGTATTGTGGAAATGTTTGCCATTATCTTCTGCTGGGGTTAATTTTGAATTCCAGAAATGACCTATTACAACCCGGAGGCAATTCTGTTGCTGCTTGTATTTTGCGAAAAAAAGTTGAATTTGATCCTATATTGAAGTAAGAGGGAAGCTGAGGTTGTTACTGTTCATTTCTAGATAATCTCCCTTGCAAATGAACCACATCATTTATATGCACTAAGTATTTTATTCTACTTTTTTTTTTTTTTACAAAAATCTGGTAGATTTATGGGAGTTAACAATGTCATAAAAAGTAGAGTTTCTTGGAGCAAGCAACTAGCAACGTGTTTCCCCCAAATTGTTTAGATACATTCACATTGAATGGCTATATTCACATGACTGCATTTTTGAGATGTTTTTGCTGAAAACCAGAATTTACTTCTGATTTTTGGGAAAACTGGCCCATAACGAATACTGCAAAAAATGTAAAATGAGGTCGGTTACAGCCATCATTGGTCCTAAATCAAGGACTAACTGTAAAAAGCAATCATTTGGGCAAGATGGCGGTCATTTGTCCCATGCTGGCTGTGGAATTCTGGGAGTTGAAGTCCACACATCTTCAGATGCCCAAGGTTGGGAAAGACTGGATCAAATCATAAACTTACTAAACCAGCTGGCTTTGCATCCCTTGCTAAAACACAATAACCAAGCCAAAGTTAAAATTAACCAGGCTTATCTTGTTTTATGAATACATCTGCTGTTTTTTTTAACTCATTAAGTATGTTGAGTGAATACAGTCATTGGGTGTAACATTAAAAACATTTTTTTGAAACTACATTTTTCATAAAGAGTTAATTAGATGAAAATGGCTGAGGGCAGAGGGCTGGATCACCATGGCATTTTAATTGGTGCAGGCCTAATTCTGACTGAAATGGACTGTACCATTTCAAAGTGCAGGTAAGACTTTATTCTTTCCCTTCAAACAATCCCTTGGTCAACAAAATTTGAATCAGAGAGCCGGACTGTGGCCTTGGCTACCTCTTATGGGGCTGTTTCGAATATAGCAATCCTACCTCTAGTTTAAGAAAACACTGTTTATTAAGAACGTTTTCAGAAAATTGGCTTTTTATAGGTAGTTCTTGACCTAGGACCAGGGGTGGGCTTCAAAAATTTTAGCAAGGGGTTCTCTGTCCGGTTGCTGGGTGGGCGTGGCCATGGTGGGCATGGCCTAGTCGGCCTAGTCGGCCTCCTGTACCACGGTGGAGGGGGCTTTTTTGCCCTCCCCGGGCTCCGGAGGCTTTTCTCTAGCCTTTGGGAAGGCAAAAACAGCCTCCCCAGGCTCCAGAGGCCCTCTGGAGGCCGGAAATGGGCCCATTTCCAGCCTTCCTGAACTTCCGATAGGCCTGTTTTTCGCCCTACCTGAGTCTCCGCACGCGCCCTGCACTTACCTGCATCCAAAATGGACCACATGGGGACTCCTGGGAAGGGAGGAGTGGGCAGGGCCAGCCAGGAGTGGGATTTGGGGGTTCTCTGAACTGCACAGAATCTTAGCTAGAGGTTCTTCTGAACCCCTGCGAACCCCCAGCAGCCCACCCCTGCCTAGGACCAGTGATATTTGTAGAGTGGGTCACCTGTGTGACTGACCCTATTTTATGAGGTGTTTTTTTTTTTTTTTGCAGTGGTTGCTAAGTGAAAAAATGGTTCGTTATGGATCAGATTTTCTGAAAATCAGAAGTAAATGCCAGTTTTCAGCAATTACATGATAAAGATCAGTCATGTGACTGCTGGGAGATTGGATCTTCATAACTCAGTTGTAAATACTCTTGGGGAAGCCTATCGTAACTTCAAAGAGTCACTGAGCCACTGATCATAAATAGAGGACTACCTGTACTTTCCAAGCACTTCAGTTTAAAAACTTGCCTGTCTAACTACTCTAACCAGAATTAGCCTGGCCAATTAAACCCTACAGAGAAAAACTCTTTCGGATTCCACATTTTGGGGAGGTCTGCGGAGGGTAGGATGGGAAATGAAACAAGGAGGAGTTGCTTTTCCTTGGTAGAGGAACAGCCTCCAGGAGAGATCAGGTTAGCCTCCTCCTTATCCCAAACTAATCCCAAACAGTTTTGGTCACCACATTACAAAAAAGATGTCGAGACTTTAGAAAAAGTGTGAAGAAGAACAATTAAGTTGATTGAAGGGTTTGGCTAGTCTAGAGAAAAGAAGGACTGGAGAGACATGATAGCAGTATTTCAGTATTTGAGGGGCTGCCACAAAGAGGAGGGGGGGTCAATTTATTTTCCAAAGCACCAGAAGGCAAGACAAGAAACAATGGATGGAAACTAATCAAGGAGAGAAGCAACCTGGAATTAAGGAGAAACTTCCTAACAGTGAGGACAATTAACCAGTGGAACAGTTTGCCTTCAGATGTTATGGGTGCTTCATCGCTGGAGGTTTTTAAGAAGAGACTGGACAGTCACTTGTCTGAAATGGTGTAGGATTTCCTGCTTGAGCAGGGGGCTGGACTAGAAGACCTCCAAGATCCCTTCCAGCTCAATTCTGATTCTGATTCATTGATATTTCAGAAGCTTATAAAGACAAGTGTTCTTCCAGAGATTTTTCATCACATCCACTTCATCGTTTTTTGTTTTTTTTAATTTCCACTGATTTTAGTTCTCAGTTTAGCCTACAGCCCTTGGATGTCTGAGCTATCGGTCAGGTCTGATTCTGTTTAATTTATCTGAGATCAGCCAAAGTTGGCTGGTACTGCCATCTGCTGTGATGGTGATGGGACATGCCAGGATAATAAAACACGTTTCCTCCTCCTTGCCCTCTGGACCAACATGCTAGGGTACACAGTGACTACAATTTGATTGTCTCTGATCTAGAAGACAACAAAGGCATCAGAAATGCAAAAGAAGAACAAACAACGTGTACCTGCTTTCCCCTTCCCTCCTGCGCCTCCAGATTCGCCCTTTACTCCTTTGTCACCTAATTAAAGAAGAAAATACATTGCCTTCAAGTGGAAAGTTGCAGGCACACTCACAAAATAGGTCTTGAGAAATGGATAGAGCGCATAGGTGGGATGGACAAGGTAAATAGTTCAATTTTACATAGGTTGAATTCAGCGGTGGGTTTCATATTTTGTTACTACCAGTACTCCCTACGCATGCATGCTTTGTGCGCGTGTGCATCTTCCACACATGTGCCCACCCCAGGGGTGGGTTCTACATACCTTTACTACCGGTTCGCAACAGGATCTGCATGCGCAGATTGCTGATGATGACATCCGGGGCAGTGGGTGGGGCCTCCCGCCGGTTTTACTACAAGTTCTTGCGAACCGGTCCGAACTGGGGACAACCCACCACTGGCCCAGCCTCAAAAATGTACCTAAATAGGACAGCATAGAGCCGGGGTGGGCCGACCCACGATTTCCACTACCGGTATTCCCGAACCGGTCTGAACCGGCTGAATACCACCTCTGGTTGGATTAAGTTCTACTGAATACAGGTAGTCCTTGATTTACAACAGTTTGTTTAGTGACTGTTCAAAATTACAACGACATGGACCATTTTTCACGCAACTGTTGCAGCCTCCCCATGGTCACATGATCGAAGTTCAGGCGCTTTGGAATTGGCGCGTATTTATCACCGGTGCACTGTCCTCGGGTTATGTGATCACTTTGTGCGACCTTCTGGCAAGCAAAGTCAATGGGGAAGCCAGTTTCACTTAACAACTGTGGCAAGAGAGTTTGTAAAATGGGAGAAAACTCACTTAACAAACCTAGCAAAAAATTTTTTTGGGTCAATTGTGGTCATAAATCAAGGACTATCTGTTCATTGGATACAATTGAATCTATTTTCGTCTACCGTAGACTTGCCAAGGCTTTTGCTTTCTGATAGTTAACTTCAGATTTTAATAGATGATCCATTAAAAGTTTAAAGACTTAGTGGCTAGGTGTGCCCAGTACTTTTGTTTCTTCAGGGAATTGCAGCAAAAACGGAGACGGACAATAGCTGAAAAGAGTTAATGATGTAATAAGTGAATATACCTAATGCAGGTACGTTATGCATTTCACTTTTGGAATGAGGATTTTTTTTTTTTTGCAGGTTGTGGAGGCACTTAAGGATATTATTTATGAATAAATGGGAATTCTGAAGGTGGAAGGTTTTTTTTTAAAATGGGATTGCAGTATATCGCAGCGGTCACCAACTGGTGGTCCGTGGACCACTGGTCGTCTGTGAGAAAATTTGGTGCTCCACAGAAAAATTATTTGCATTTTTATATTGCACTAAATCAGGGGTCCTCAAACTACGGCCCCTGGGCTGGATACATGCAGTGAACATTGCTGCAGAGAATCTCCCACTTCGAGGTCTTTTTGTGTGGGTTGGAGGGGGGTAAAAATTCCGACTTGGGGTCTGCTTCAACCTCCTGGTGCGGGGCTTTCGGCGAAGGCTGGAGGGAAGTTCTCTGGTGGCGAAGAGCCAGAGGGCCTTGTTCCAGTGGGACTGCCTCGTGGCCTGGAACTGGCTGACTATCTCAGCCCATTGAACCTCCAGGTGCCGGTACCTGGCCTTGCACTCCTGCGGGTCTTCCCTCTGCTTGGAAAGCCTATGCTTGTAGTCCTGAGTGAGATGCTTCTGCTGAGCCTGTTTCTCAGCCAGATCCAATTTGAACTGAGCCAGCTGTTTTGCCAACTCTTTCTCATGGTGGTTGCTTAGCTCCAACAACTACTTCCTGTTGGGGCCCTAAGGAACCCGGGCGGGGAGGCGAGGAGTGGCTGGGAGGGGAGGGGTGAGTAGCGGCTGGCCAGGCGCCCCTCGATGTGAATGACATTGAATTGGCCACGCCCACCCAGTCACATGACCATCTAGCCACACCCGCCCAGCCGGTCATTAGGCAGATCATATTAGTGATCCGTGGGATTTAAAATTATGAATTTAGTGGTCCCTGAGGTCCAAAAGGTTGGGGACCCCTGGTATATAGCAATACACAGGAGGTTTAACTTTCCTTCTCTCGCTGCATTTTATGAGAATCAATCCCTAGTTGCTATTAGCCCCTGGCAGGACAAAAAACACAGCGCGACTTCTGTTTTTAAAGGAAAAAAGATAATTTTCAATAGGACAATTGGAGAGGAAAGAAGGCAATCTTCTGTATTCCTGCATTGTTTGCAGTGGAAAAGAGTAGACATGTTTATAATTCTGCATTCACTACCATATTCAGCCAGTGGGAGGAAGGATTATATATGTGATGGCTGCCACCTCCATCTCCACCTCCATATGTTTTCTGTAACAAACTCAATCTTTCCATTCTTATTTTTGTTTTTTTCTCCCAATCTGCTTTGCATTACCCATATCTCCCACAGTTGGTGAAGAAACTGAAAAGAGGTAGGGCATTTAAATAACAAAAACCTTAAATTTGCTTCCAAATCAACCATGACATTTTCACAAAGAAGATACATAAACTTTTGGAATGGCTTTTACAATCCCTGGATTTAAATATTCCTGGAAATCCGTGTGGGGGGGGGATCTCAAACATGTAGTGCATTGCAAGGAATCCCAACAATATTTCTAAGGTAGAAGAATTCTGTAAGAAACAGTTAGAAAATATACAACTAAGAGTAAACAAGGATGTTCTTGGATACAACAGAAAAGCGAAACAGTTGTTGCCAATTTAGATAATGCCCCTGGAGCATTTTTATTCTAGAAACATCTGAGAATTGCATAGAAATGCATATGTTGTTCATGAATGTGTAAGTGAACTTGATAATGTCTGCCTACCTCATATTATGAATTCCCAAATGCCTATTAGCCAAGCTCCCAACAGAGCTGCATTAAGTTTGACTAACCAATTCCAAAATTCCTGCTTCCATAGGGAAATCCCAAATTCACACTTCTGTTCCCTTCAAAATAAAATTGACCATGTAGCTTTCAGGAGGTATGGTTGATAGGGATATACCGAAAGGGATGTAGGAACTTGGATAGATTGACTGAGACTTTTATGAATCTTACTGGAAGGGATGGGGATTGAACCTATGACCTTCTGCATTTTTTTAAAAAAATTTGATTTATATGCCGCCCTTCTCCGGAGACTCAGGGCGGCTTACAATGTGTTAAGCAATAGCCTTCATACTTTTGTATATTTTTACAAAGTCAGCTTATTGTCCCCACAAACTGGGTCTTCAATTTACCTACCTTAGAAAGGATGGAAGGCTGAGTCAACCTTGAGCCTGGCAAGATTTGAACTTACTAATTGCAGACAGCTGGAGTTAAATTACAGTGTATTAGTCTGTTGAGCTATCCAGGCTCCCAATGAGTTACAGTTGTTCCAGCACAGACTAGGAGGGTCCTATCCTTGATTGGGATGTGAGAAGACTGCAACTCAATGGTGGCCTGTTCTTGAAATGCGTGGTTATGACGAGCTTTTCCAAAAACATAGACAATACCAAAAAGAGTCTGAATGAGCTCATGTTGGTAGCCATGGTACGGGAAGCATAAGTTAACAGTACTTGTGTTTTGAAAATAAAAGCCTTCAGTTTCATTTGGAAACATAAATAGCAGGTGTTTTTTTATTTTATACTGGGGTTTACCATCCAGTGAAGACATGTGATCAGTTAATACTTACCTCTTCTGCCAATTGGTCCAATTTTACCTATCATTCCTTGTTCACCAATATCTCCAATTGTTCCTTTGTCTCCTGAATCAGAAATACAATAAATAAGAGTTTGTTTCATTGAGTCTCAGAGCACAATGTAATTGTATTTTAAGGTACTGCGCATTAATCACAGGACTAAATAGTCCTGACTATTTAGTAAGGCTGTATTACTATTCTTCTCATCTTTCCTAATATCTATCTCCTTTTCTACTTATGACTATAACTTTGTTGCTTGTATCTTTACCATTTATATATTTTTAAATTTAGTGTCCTACTATGATTTATGTTGATTGCTTATTTAATATCCTATGACTATCACTAAGTGTTGTATCTTCTGATTTATGATGTATATATTTTTATGATGACTATGATCATGATTTATCACATATAGCTTTTATGTACATTGAGTGCTTATGCACCGCAGGCAAATTCCTTGTGTGTCCAATCACACTTGGCCAATAAAGAATTCTCTATTCTATTCTATTCTATTCTATTCTATTCTATTCTATTCTATTCCATTCCATTCCATTCCATTCCATTCCATTCCATTCTTGTAAAGGGCCAGGAATTATAGAGATTGAAGCCTAAAATAGGAAAGAGTTCTTTAAATTAGAGGTCTCCAAGCTTGGCAACTTTATGATTTGTATACTTCAACTCCCAGAATTCCATGTTGGCTGAGGAATTCTGGGAGTTGAAGTCCACAAGTTGGAGAGTCCTGCTTTAAATAATTTCCATTAGAGAATAGCAATAGCAATAGCACTTAGACTTATATACCGCTTCACAGTGTTTTACAGCCCTCTCTAAGCGGTTTACAGAGTCAGCCTATTGCCCCCAACATTCTGGGTCCTCAATTTACCAACCTCAGCAGGAAGGAAGGCTAAATCAACCTTGAGCTGGTGAAATTCGAACTGCCGACAGCAGGCAGTCAGCAGAAGTAGCCTGTAGTACTGCATTCTAACCATTGTGCCACCACAATTTGGGTGTCCCCACCTCATTTCCACAATATTCCAGAAGTATTTTGCTGTTTGCCCTAAGAAAGAAGATGCCGGACTAAGATAACCATGTTCTAATCTAGCACTTCTCCATTAAGAGGAGATGTATGTAGCTATGAAATGGTTGAAGTTTCTCCTTCTAACTGGACGTCGAAGGAGGAGGGTTGTATTAGTTTGTGAAAGCAAAACATAGACTATGGAACATACAGTCATAGGCTGGAAGGGATCTAAGAGGTCACCTAGTCCAACCTCCTGCTCAAGGCAGGAGCTTACACCATCCCAAATGGTTGGTGGTTGGTTATCAAATGGTTATCCATTTTGTTTTTCAAAACCTTCAGCGATGGGAGCACTCACAATTCCAGGAGGAAAGCTATTCCATTGATTAATTGTTCTCACTGTCAGAAAAGTTCTCTTTAGTTCTAGGGTGGATTTTTCTTTAACAAGCTTCCACCCGTGACTTCATGTCCTGTCCTCTGGTACTTCGGAGAATAAGTCAGTCCCCTCTTCTCTGTGATAGCCTCTCTAGTACTGGAAGACAGTTATCATGTCTCGCCTAATCCTTCTCTTGGATAGGCTACACGTACCCAGCCCCTCCCAAATGTTCATCATATGATTTATGATACATCTAGAGTAGGGGTCCTCAAACTTTTTAAACAGGGGGCCAATTCACAGTCCCTCAGACTGTTGGGGGGCCGGACTGGCTGGGCGGGCGTGGCTAGGTGGTCATGTGACTGGGTGGACATGGCCAATTTATCAGTCTAAACAATACACACAAAGTAAACTTTAATTTGTTATGCTCCTGGGGGTGGAAAGCAGGTTAGTGAAGGGATGTGGTTGCCTTAGGGTGTGTATGAGGGACTTCTGTTTGTGTGTGTCTGTGTGTGTCTCCCTCCCTCTCTTTCTCTCTCTCTCTCCCTCTCTCTCTCTCCCTTTCTCTCTCTCTCCCTCCCTGTCTCTCCCCCCTCTCCCTCTCTCTCCCTGTCTCTCCCTTTCTCTCTCTCTCTCTCTCCCTCTCCCTCTCTCTCTCCCTTTCTATCCCCCCTCTCTCCCTCTCTCTCTCCCTTTCCCTCCCTCTCTCTCCCCCCTCTCCCTCTCCCTCTCTCCCTCTCTCTCCCTCTCTCTCCCTCTCTCCCTCTCTCTCCCTTTCTCTCTCTCTCTCCCTCTCCCTTCTCTCTCTTCCTCTCTCTCCCCCCTCTCCCTCTCCCTCTCTCCCTCTCTCTTCCTTTCTCTCTCTCTCTCCCTCTCCCTCTCCCCCCCTCTCTCTTCCTCTCTCTCTCTCCCTCTCCCTCTCCTTCTCTCTGGAGGCCAGAGAGGCCAAAGACGGCCCTGTTTTTGGCCTCCTGAGACCTCCACACCTCCCATTTCTGTCCTCCCCGGTCTCCAGTACCACTCTACTGCCAAAAAATGAGTCAATTTTTTGCCTCCCCGGCCTCCAGAAGGCATGTGGGGGCCGGCGGGTAGGCAGGGCGATGTGGGCGGGGCAGCCTGGTGGTCCTGTGCGGGCTGGATTAATGGCTTTGGTGGGCCTTATCCGCACTGCGGGCCATAGTTTGAGGACCCCTGATCTAGAGGATTAAGATAGCACCTTTTCCAAGTCCCCAATTTTTATTTTTTTTAAAAAAAATTGTCACATACTCTTTGCTATTCCACTTAAAAGGTGTTGCATATGCTTTTCTTGTCCATTCCAACAGACTGGAGCTCCTTTTGAAGAGAGTTTGACTTTGATTTGTCTCCATTAAAGTACCCTGCTGAGCTGTCAGGTAACAGATGGCTGTCTCTCCCTTTCTTTGCACTCTTACAGAAAAAAACAACAACATGACATTTCCAAGCTTATCTGCATCACTCAAAACTCCCTGCTGAGAGGCTTGTAGGAGTTATGTTTTGGTCTGAAAAAAATATTCTTAAATGATGACTAAGAAAAAAAAAATCATTAGATGTACCGGTATATGCAACTCCCTCCGTGTTATTCTCATACACTGATGGGTAAGATATGCATGTCAACAGAGTAATTAAGAACCTATAAAAAAACTCAGCTGGATTAAACCCTATGTAGACCAGCATTCTAGGTCACACCGTGACAATTAGATACACCTGGGAAGCTCACAAGTTTGAACTCAGATTGAAAGTCCCCTTTCATTTTGTTTCCAAGCAACCAGTATTTTGAGCAAACTGTTGATGATTCCGAAGGTAATAAATAGAGCAGTACAATACTTTGGATTTGATTCCTCTGCATTCTGGGAAAAGATACAGCTACTTCCATAAGTAGCAGACAGGAGTGATCTTTGAATCTTTGCATACCCTAAAATGCCATTTGCACAGCCAGTCTCAGGGGCCTCAAGGCATGCCTTCCGACTGACCTTTAGAATAGAATAGAATAGAATAGAATAGAATAGAATAGAATAGAATAGAATAGAATAGAATAGAATAACAGAGTTGGAAGGGACCTTGGAGGTCTTCTAGTCCAACCCCCTGCCCAGGCAGGAAACCCTACACCACTTCAGACAAATGGTTATCTAACATCTTCTTAAAAACCTCTAGTGTTGGAGCATTCACAACTTCTGCAGGCAAGTTGTTCCACTTATTAATTGTTCTAACTGTCAGGAAATTTCTCCTTAGTTCTAGGTTGCTTCTCTCCTTGATTAGTTTCCACCCATTGCTTCTTGTCCTACCCTCAGGTGCTTTGGAGAATAGCTTGACCCCCTCTTCTTTGTGGCAGCCCCTGAGATATTGGAACATTGCTATCATGTCTCCCCTAGTCCTTCTCTTCATTAAACTAGACATACCCAGTTCCTGCAACCGTTCTTCATATGTTTTAGCCTCCAGTCCCCTAATCATCTTTGTTGCTCTTCTCTGAACTTTTTCTAGAGTCTCAACATCTTTTTTACATCGCATAAGCGATGTAAAAAAGTGCTTATAGCACGAGCACTAGCACTTAGACTTATATACCGGTTCACAGTGCTTTATGGCCCTCTCTAAGCGGTTTACAGAGTCAACATATTGCCCCCAACAATCTGACTCCTCATTTTACCAACCTTGGAAGGTTGGAAGGCTGAGTCAACCTTGAGCCTGGTGAGATTTGAACTGCCAAATTGCAGGCAGCCGGCAGTCAGCAGAAGCAGTACTGCATTCTAACCACTGCGCCACCATGGCTCTTAATAACAGGATCATCTCTCCCCAGTTGCTTCTACTCTGGTCAGGTGCGAAAGATCCACACGTGAAGGTCCAATTAAACTGATTTATTACTAAACAGCCTATGCATAGAATCTTCCCAACTAACAGTAGGCACCTGCTTAGAGTTTGATAAGAGTCAAGGGAATTCAAGGGAGGTTGGACTTAGTCTGCTTGTGACTATGTAGGGATTCTAGGCTGATTCCACTTTTGACTCCACCTTAGCTTCTGCTACTCCTTCTGCTACATTCCATCCCATTTGGTCTGGCAAGAGGACCATGCTGTGGATGCCATCAACTAAGGAGGGTCAGCTGGTGGGACCCAGGAAGAAGGCCTTTCCTGCCATCTTGTGGAACATAATTTTACCTGGCTAAGATTAGGTTAGCCCAGATCTTACTGGCCTTTCACAAGGCCCTGAAAAACTTGGTTTTCTGCCCAGGCCTGAAGCCCAGAAAGTGTGATAAGGCTCTGTTTCTTGGCTTTGTTGATGGTTACCATATTTTTGGGAGTATAAGATGCACCTAGTTAAAAAAAAAAAGATGCACCTGAGTATAAGATGCGGCTTAGTTTTTGGGGAGGAAAATAGGGGGAAAAATCTGCCTACCAGGTATTTATCTGGCTAGCATCCTTAGTCTGGTCAGCTTCAGCACGTTAGTTTGCTGGTTTTTACTCCCTGCTTGGGGATAAAAAACAGCTTCTAAAGCACAACTGATCTTTGGAGAGAGAAGCAATGAGAAATACTGGCAAACCACGGAGATCGCTTCACTTGCTAGCGCCTCGTTAGGGCTGAAAAAAGGCTTCGAAAAAGCTACTATTCAGAGTATAAGATGCATCCAAATTTTCAGCCTCTTTTAGGAGGGGAAAAAAGTGTGTTTTATACTCTGAAAAATACAGTATTTTATGATGCTCGGCTGCTATGGGGTTTTATTTTATATTATGTGTTTATTTGTTTTTATCTATTTTATTGCAAACTGCTAGAATCATATTTGTGAGGTAGATGGCTGTATCAATCAATCAAACCATTTCTGAAATATTGCTAAAACTCCAGAGACCAGATCACTCAGCCACCAACATCAACTGAAATGTTACACAATTTTTTTAAAAGAAAAATTACAGTATTACTCTGGATAATTTTCTTTATAAGCTTCCTTTTAAAAAGCTCCTTTCCTCCTGTGATTAAGAAGCAAGATAAGCTTGTCAGAGTGTAAAAATAATTTATGGAATAACTGAGTTTATACACTACACTTAACCAGATTAGATGAGGGCCTAATGGCTGCATTGCCATTACATACTAAACTTGGATAAACCTGATTTTTTTTTTTACGGTTTACTGTCCTGTCCCAACTGCCATTTGGGTTAATTTAGAACCAGGTTAAGCATGCAGCCAGTGTGTAACTCTGAAGTAGTAAAGGACCGTTCCTATGTTTTTAACTGTAAAGAGAGTACAATATTTTTTTTTACCTTTGGATCCTGTGGGGCCAAGTTTCCCAGTTTTTCCCGTTTCTCCTTGGTCTCCCTTGTCACCGACATCTCCTTCAATCAGAAACAAAAAAAGAAGGGGAAGACAAAGTTTAGGAAATGCTGATCTGATTTTATTTTTGAAGACATGATACCTGATGGCTCAAGTCTTATTTTTTGATATGCCAGGTCCTTCATAATACCTAAATTACAGATTAACAGAGTCAGAAGGGACCTTGGAGGTGTTCTAGTCCAATGCACTGCTGAAGGAGGAAACCCTACATACCAGTGATGGTTATCCTTTTTGGTGCTGACTGCCCAAAGTCTGTGTGCCCGAATGCATGCGCGCGTGTCCCTATCCCCAAAATGTAATGCAAGTGCCCCCCCTTGCATGTGCCCTGGCCCCACACATGTGCATGTTTTCCCACGCATGCCCTCCGTGGCGCATGCGCCCCGGCCCCCCTTTTGGCTTCCAGGTTGCATTTCTGCCGCTCGTGCCTTCCCCAGTCTCCTCAGTTTCTTCCCCCAGCACGCCCTAGCTTTCTCCTGCATTTCTGCCAAGGAGAGGCACCTTCAGAGGGTGGAACATGCGGTGACTGGGGAAGGCACAGGCAGCAAAAATGCAGGAGAAAGCTAGCGCGTGCTGGAGGCAGAAACTGCAGAGATCGGGGAAGGCCCCAAGCCCCGAAGATCAGCTGGCTGGTGGGAGGCGCGCGTGCCATAAGTTCGTCATAACAGCTATATATCATTTCAGATTACTATTATTATTATTATTATTATTATTATTATTATTATTATCATCATCATCATCATCATCATCATCATCATCATCATCATCATCAAATTTATATACCGCCCTTCTCCCAAAGGACTCAGGGCGGTGCACAGCCAAAGTAAAAACATAAATACAAACATTAAAATACAGTTAAAAAGATATATATGCGTTTGGCCCCATAGTTAAAAAAACAATAACAAACCTATTAAAAACATTTTAAAAAGTGTTAAGCCAGCCCGGCTTACTAAAAAAGAAAGGTCTTAAGGGCACGGCGGAAGGCACCGAGGTCTTGGATTCTTCGTATCTCTGGGGGCAGCTGATTCCAGAGGGCAGGTGCCCCCACAGAAAAGGCCCTCCCCCTGGGGGCCACCAGTCTACATTGCTTGGCCGATGGCACCCTGAGGAGGCCCTCTTTGTGGGAGCGCACAGGTCGGTGGGAGGCCATTGGTAGCAGCAGGCGGTCTCGAAGATATCCAGGTCCTATGCCATGGAGCGCTTTAAAGGTGATAACCAACACCTTGAAGCGCACCCGGAAGTCCACTGGAAGCCAGTGCAGCTCACGCAGGAGAGTTGTTATGTGGGAGCGCCATGCGGCTCCCGTAACTACCCGCGTGGCCGCATTCTGGACCAGTTGGAGCCTCTGGGTGCTCTTCAAGGGGAGCCCCATGTAGAGAGCATTGCCATAGTCCAGGCGAGAGGTGACGAGGGCACGAGTGACAATACCTAGTCAAGCACCATATATTCATCACCACTCTCATATTTAGGATACTAAATCTGTGTGAAATGTTGTGAATCTGTCCTCTCAGAATAGCTGGGAGAAGTGGTCAAAACATCAATTTGCCAGAAGAGAAAATGGACAATGCTCTTCCATGTCCCTGTTCAATGCCAAACTCAATCTATCTGTAGCCCAGACACAGTTCTCTAAATACAAACATCAATTATACTAAAGTGGCAGTTTCCCAAGGGTGGTAACTTCCGGATTTGTAGACTGCAACTCCCAGAATTCTCCAGCTGGCCTGGCCTTTGCTAAGAATTCTGGGAGTTGTGCTCCACATCTCTGAAAGTCGTTCAACCTTGGAAATGCTGCATTAGCGGCATGCCAGCTGTCTTTGAAAGCAAATGCACACACTTTGAAGAATTGATCATTAAAATCAAGAGGAACAGGGAGTGTGTCCATGGTTGGTATCCATGGGAACAAAAGGGACTGTTCTGGTATTGTAATAGATTGCCGATGTAAAGCAATGCTTGGCATAAGTGCACATGTAAATTAATATAATTCTGTACATTCTTCCTCCACAGATTTGACTTTTAGCTATTTAACGGAGGTTGGTTTTTTTTTGTTGATTTGCCTTCTCTTTCATACTAAGTCAATGACTTTTAATGACTTTAAAAGAAATGTCAGGCTTTAAAAAGCTAAGCTGATGGCCATAGACTTAAAAGTCTCGTATTGAACATGAAATTTGCATATCTTGTTGGAAATCCTGTTGTTGCTGAGATCTTCTTTGGGATAATAATGAACTAGGGAAGATGGTTCCTTTGATGGCCCTTAAAATAAGCTAGCTAGCTAGGTAGGTAAGTAGATAGGCAGGTAGGTAGTATTGAAAGAAATATCCATCTGGTTTAATTCCAAGCCAGGAGAAAGGCACCTGAGACAACATATTTATAAATATTTAGGGGAAATATTTTATCCTGCCTTTTTTTATATTCCTCAAAATATTTCATTCTTCTAGGAGGGGTGGTGGTGGCTTCCCACAATAGGTAGGTAGGATGCATATATTGGAAGGCTGATCGGGAAGGGTTTTTGTGCCACAACAGAGTCCTCCATACAGAATAGTATCTTATGTGGAGTCCCATCCACATAATAAGCCAGTATATTGTTTGTTTGCTTTTGGCTTGGTGATATTTGCACCCAGGCTTTTTCATACATAAACCCAGTTTTATGGCTCATCAGCAGTGGTGTGTTTCTCCCGGTTCGGCCCGGTTCGGCCGAGCCAGTAGCGGTGGTGATATGATGTCACTGAACCGGTTCTGTTTGTTCGGGAGCTGGGCCATCCCGCCCGCCCCCGTGTTATTCTTACCTTTTATTTGGCCCCACCCCCAATCTATTCGCTGCCTCCCGAGTCCCAGCTGATTGGCTAGAAGGAAAAAAACTGTTTAAACTCTTGCCGCAGGGCTTCAAAGGGCCACCGTAAAGCTGATGAGTGTTAAAAGGCAGTGTGGTGGTAGACCAGTGTGCTCCAAAAACAAATGGGTAGACCAGTACAGCTCTGCAAGCAGTTAAAAGCCTGGTAGACTAGTACCTTTGCTAAAACCTAAAGAATTGTCACATGACCATCAAACCATGCCCACAAAATAAGCCACGCCCACAGAACCCGTAGTAAAAAATTTAGAACCCACCCCTGCTCATCAGGATGTATAATCTCAGTGATTATGGCTCTTTTGGCAAACTAGGGTTAAACACACCCTAGCCTTTCTTTTCTGAGATCAAATATAGGACAAACCCCTTTGAACAAAGCTGGATGAAAGTCCATTTCCTTAAATATTCAGCTGTTAAATAAGAGACATCATGAGGAAATGTACCAAGATTTGCTCCTTGCTGCCCTCTTGTGGTCTTTTGTGTTGTGATGTTTGCTTTTTTTTTTTTAATGATTTTTTGACAGGCTTGGCATTCCTCAGCAAATTATGATGTGGGAAGTACACGGATACCACTATTATCCTTTATACAATAATCAGTAGTACAATTCAATTCTGATTTGATCAGATTTATACCCCATTGAGTTCAACAGGTCAACTGGACGTCCTTATATCCTTGGGGCAGTTGAGCAAGGGCATTGAAAATTACAGTCTGAATATTTGTTGAAGTCACATAATTCAGAGGTAGCTGTGTTGGGTTACTGTAGCAAAGACAAGGTCTCTTTGAACATTATAGTTATGGAGAAAAAGAGTGTGGCATTTGATTTTATGCCCAGCTCCATCTAGAACCTGGAAGTTTGGCTTTTCCAGAGTGCGGCCCCAACAAGTGTGCGTGCATGCAACATTTCCACATGACCTTTTCGGCACTCAGTGCCAAAAAGGTTTGCCATCACTGCTGTAAGCCAACACAGTTCTAGGCTGTATTAATAGAGGGATAGAATCAAGATCAAGTGAAGTGTTAATACCACTTTATAATGCTTTGGTAAAGCCACACTTGGAATTCTGCATCCACATTTTGGTCGATGTAAAAAAGATGTTGTGACTCTAGAAATAGTGCAGAGAAGAGCAGCAAAGATGATTAGGGGATTGGAAGATAGGAAAAACAATTGCTGGAATTGAGTAAGTCTACTTTAATGAAAAGAAGGACTAAAGGTGGCATGATACCAGTGCTTCAATATCACAAAGGAGAGGGGTCAACCTATTCTCCAAAGCACCTGAAGAACAAGAAGCAATGGATGGAAACTAATCAAGGAGAGAAGCAACCTAGAACTAAGGAGAAATTTCCTGACAATTAGAACAATTAATCAGTGGAACAACTTGCCTCCAGAAATTGTAAATGCTCCAACACTGGAAGTTTTAAAGAAGTGATTGGACAACCATTTGTCTGAAATACTATAGGGTTTCCTGCCTAAGCAGGGGGTTGGACTAGAAGACTTCCAAGGTCCCTTCCAACTCTGTTATTCTGTTTGTGATTCTATTTGTGATTCTACCTCCAGGTAGGTCTTGTCATAACTTTGAATGCTTGCTAAGCGACTGGTTGTAAACCGAAGACTACCTGTAATGTAAGCCTTGGTGTCCTTCACTTCCTGCAAACTTTTCCCTCTTGTTTTAATGGCAGTGTTTGTGCTCTCATCTGCTATATCCCTGGCAGATTTAACTTTCTCCTGTATTTCATACCGTGAAAAGCTTTGTTGCTTAATTTCTGCCAGATAATTAGAGGCAGGACATCTTTTGAGTATAACAAAAAGCTGGCCCTACTGCGTAATGTACTCAGGGTGTTATGTGAATTGGTTCTGGCAGGAAAACAGAACAGCAGGTCTCTCTCTCCAGGTTTCTCAAGAGCCAACCATTGGGAGTGTTGGACAGCTGGATTCTAACCACAATGGCCTGAAAGATCATTACTCTGGGCCACCGTTGAAAGTTTAAATGGCAGCTATGTTGCTCAGAGCAGTAAACTGGGTTTTGTTTGTTTTTGTAAAGCATGCCTCCAGCCTAACATCAACTATTGGCCTGGACAATTGCCTAGGCCGCTGAGTGCTGACATAGGCCACAGACACGGACTGACAGAAAATCAAGTTTCCAAAAAGTTTCTTTCAGTTTCTAGCCC